CTGGCCATTCTTTTTTTTTTTACATCGATTACACAAATCTCATTTATGTTGTTAAATATCATATTTTTAAATTGATCCTCTAGTCCAGTTAATGTCTATATGACAATATTTCAAAAATGTTCGTCTTCAAACGATGAATCAGTATATTTGAACGTTTGAAGCATTGAACAACTGCACATGACACAATATCACGAATATATATTAAAAAGATACGAAACAACTAAATACTTTTCACATGTTGTTCCCCATATTTGGAAAAGTTCCTTATATAAAGGTTAACTCATCACATGGGTGTTTACTTTTTATGAAAAGTATGTTTTAATCGTTCAATCATGCATACCATTGATAGCTATTGCCTTCGTTAAGATAAACATGGTTTTCTTTTAAAAAAGTAAAATTAAATTTGATAAATATGGACTCTTTTTAATTGAAAAGTCATAATGTTAAAACTATCATGAACCCTTGAAATTTACCGCATATATAACGGATAGCCTTTCGTTTGAGAGGTAATCTCTCGATGATTTTTGGTTTATTTCCATCCTGTTCACAATGAACTCTCAGCATACCAAAATCTTTCAAAGATGATACAAATCTGTTTGAAACGATATAATTACATAAAACCAATCAAGATTGTGACATAAAATGACAGACATTTACAGAGAATTGACTATATCTTTTAAGAATCACATTTTTATTTAGAATTTAACTTCGAAAAATGTGAGACAATTCCTATGGAAAAGTTATTAAATTTCATGAATGTGTGCCATTTCAAACCAGATCACTTCAGAGTTGGGGGAAACATAATGGACGCTTACCCTGTCGACGAACCCGGTCTCGTCCTTTTGGAGTTCATTCAATTCCCTCAGTTTTTTATTTGTTACCTTGATTTCAGCTTGTCTTCTTAATCGATTTATGATATTTGAACATCGTTAACTATCGTTGTCTAAATTTATCAGGAAGATAGACTGAAATCGACAATACCCTGCTACGTCCGGTCTGTGTTTATGTTTGATGTTTTTCTGCTTTGTATCGATCTGATGAGTTAAGCCTTTTTCAAATGATTTTTATAGTTTGTTCTTATGTTGTGCTGTTACATCATTGTCCCAGGTTAGGGGGAGGGTTGAGCGCTCACAAACATGTTTAACCCCGCCACATTCTTTATGTGCCTGTCCCAGGTCAGGACCCTGTAGTTCTGTGGTTGTCGTTGGTTCATGTCTGTCATATTTGTTTTTCGTTAATTGTTTTGTTATAAATTAGGCCGTTAGTTTTCTCAATTGAATTGTTTCATATTTTTCATGTCGGGGCCTTTTATAGCCGACTATACGGTATGGGTTTTTCTCATTGTTGAAGGCCGTATGGTTGCCTATAATTGCTTACATCCACTTTATTTGAAATTTGGTGGATAGTTGTCTCAATGGCAATCATATCTCATCTCCTTATTTTTATATAGTAGTAAGTTTTAGAATCACCATCACGAATTTGTTGACTAATGCGATGTGTCTGTTTCGCAACTCGCAAGCAACGTGTTTTCGTGCTTAGAGTCTTAGTGATGATTCGCATGACAGGGGTACATGCAATAGCAGGAGACGCATACATTGTCGACCAAATCGGTCTCGTTCCTTTTGTTATCCTTGTGATTGCTCAGTTTTTCTTGTTACCTTCATATGTTCTTTTTAGTCGATTTATTAGATTGATACATATATATAAGTAAGATACCGTAGCCTAAATCTTGTCTATTACAAATGCTAATCTTTGTCATAGCTAACAAATGAAAAAATGTCATTTGACACATCATACAAATGTATTCCGTATTGGTCAACAAAGCCAAGGTTATGTCCGTGAAACTTTTTACTAGATAAATAAGAATTTGATGTAAAACATGAAACTATTTAACAAATATAAAATGATTTTTTTTTCTTCGTCCTTAGGGTTCACAAAAGGCAAATACATTTTCACGACGAATTAATTCATGAAATATTGTTAAAGGGAGACGTGGAGTATACGTCAAAGACATAAACAATGGACAACAAATAAAAGATGTCTTCTAGAGAATAGTAGATATGTGCCTATATAGTATGTCAAACTATGCTAGAATAAGTTGTGAATGAACGTAAAAGAGACTACCTAAATGTCAACAGCAGTTAAGATATTACTTAAGACAACTAATGACGATGTCCTTGATTTTGGACAGCCAAATAAACATATGGGGAGGTTAAACGAGTCTTTTTATATTCAACCTACTCTTTATGTTGAAAAACAAAAAGAGCGTGCAATAAAAATGAGTACCGTAACCAATTTTTTGCATTGAAACAATTCAAGTACATATATCAAAGGACTAATGATCAAATTAATCAATTCAGCCGAACCCTGACCTAGGGAAGTAACACTAGATGTCCTATTACAATACCAAATAGATTACTGTATTATACTTCACTCCATTTGCGTTACAAAGGTTTGATATTTCGGCTTTTCACATGTGTTTTAAGTCGTACAATGATAAAAATCTCAACGGCCTATCAATTCAATGTTTTGTTTGTATAGTTTGTTGCAAAATTGTTCTTAGACTACTAATTCGATTATTTTCTTTATTCTAACGAAAAGATTTAATTAGAAGGAATACAAAAAATAATGAACTTTGATGGCATTCTTTCATTAAACATTTAAAATCTCGGTTAAAGGTCTGCTTGGCTTCAATCATAACACCGATAACGTATTTTTTAAACTACACGAACTGAAAATAATACTGATTTGTTAATTCATTTGACATTAAATTTCCGATCCAGTTACCGAAAAATGTTTTTTTTTCCAGTCATTACTGGTTATCTATTTCAAAACGACTAACTTGCATGTTTCAGCATATCCCGTATATATGTGTTTTATTATAATAAGGTTCAGCTAAAGCTCATCTCATAGATGATTTAGATTATGAAAAGGTCTTTAGATAAGAGAAACACCATTCAAGTGATGATTGTTTTTGTATGGAATGTAAATTTCTGGCGTTAAAAAATAAATGTTATGGTTGCATGTTGTATATTATATCCAATAGATTGGGAATGTTTACTCCTTTTGTAACAAACCCTAAACTCAAATATTCTGACAACTGCATCAATTATATTTTTTTCGAGAAACTACTCTTTTATGAATTAAAAGCAACCGTATTTTACCGATGTACAAGTCTCTTTACTCTATTTAGCATATAAAAATCAAGATAACAAAAACAAAATTTGGTGGAGTCGCACACACCCTAAATGAAGGAATACCGGATACCTTAAAAGAATAATGAAGCAAGAGACGTATTGATTTTAGATTATAACAGATACATATTGCATGGCATTGTCAGTTTGTTTTTAACTTGTGAGTTTGAATATCCCTTTGGTATCTTTCGCCCTCTTTTATAATATTTGAGCATATATTTATGGGGAATAAGACTTTACTTTTATGCAAACGATCACTTATTTTATTCTATACACTCCTATATCAAGAGAAGACAAAGATTCAGATACCAATATCAAGAGAAGACAAAGATTTAGTTACATATATCAAGAGAAGACAAAGATTCAGATACCTACATCGACAGAAGACAAATATTCAGATACCTATATCAAGAGAAGACAAAGATTCAGATACCTACATCAAGAGAAGACAAAGATTCAGATACCTATATCGAGAGAAGACAAAAATTTAGATACCTATATCACGAGAAGACAAATATTCAGATACCTATTTCACGAGAAGACAGATTCAGATATCTATATCAAGAGAAGACAAAGATTTAGATACCTTTATCAAGAAAAGACAAAGATTCAGATACCTACACTGATATCCGTTCACTCCATACCAAATCAATTTGACTTCATTTCGTAGTTTAGTTCCGTTTTGCTTTTATGAAATAAAGAAGACGTGCCAATGAATCATTATCCGTCAGTTTGTTCTGTCTTGCATTTATTTTGTTTTAGTTTGTTTGGTTTGTTTTTATTGTTAATTTTAGTTGTTGCTTGTTTTCTTTTAATAGATATATATATTCGTCTCCTGTTTAATTGTTGAAAAATTTATCGTTTTTTTAATTGGTTTTCGTTATTGTTAATTCTATTGCATGTTTTGATTTTTTTTTTGTATCATAACAAAAGAAGTGTTTTGTTCTAACGCCTTAAATGCATTTCAGTCTAAGATTATTTTGGAAAGCTATTGCATAAAGTTAATGACTATGTGTCGTATCATATGCGATGTTTAAACTGTGAAATCTTGTCCATGAATATATAAGAGAGGGACGAAAGATACCAGAGGGACAGTCAAACTCATAGATCGAAAACAAACTGACAACGCCATGGCCAAAAATAAAAAGACAAACAGACAAATAATAGTAAAGATGACACAACAAAGAAAACCAAAGACTAAGCAACACGAACCCCACCAAATATTTGACTTGGTTTTTGTACTAATTTTTATTGTCCGTACTTTTATCTACATTTTGTTTTTCCGCTTATCGAGTAGGTTGGATATAAAAAGAATAGTTTAACTACGCTACATCTTCATTTGATTTCGCTTTCACTCAGAGACCTATTCAGTAGCTGTCTTTTGTCATTATTTTTTTTTACATTTAGATAGTCTCTTTTAAAAATTGAGATTTTGTCCAAAAAAAGCTTAGTTTTGAAACATATTTATGAGTAATAATATCGAGCTCACGACTTAACCAAGTAAATATTTATGACACATTGACTAGCACTTATCCAATGTATTGTGCGGGTCAAACACAATTTTGAAAAGTGAAAAAATCTAAATATTAGAACAATGTTTAGAAGTAATTCTATGAATTCATAACTGCATTAATTGTGACGTCATTATCATAATGTACATGTATTTAGCGTTGTATCATCTCCAATTTTAATAGACATAAACGTTGGGTTTTTTATCTTAAAAGTTAAAATTTCAGTGAAAAATGAGGCCAAATAATCTTATCGCACCCTTATGATAACATTTTAAAGATACTGAAGAATACTAACCTTTGCTTTAATGTTGAAATTTCCGTAATCTGTTAACTCGGAATTCGAATTAAATTTATATTCATATTCATATCCAGACTTAAATCTGATGAATTTGGCTTCGTTTAGAACAAATGTCCACAATATTACACAAACTATTCCATACAAGGACCGCAGTTGGTCCATTTTATGTCCTGTTTCACCCAAGGTATAGATATTTTTTTCTGTTTCTAATATATATTTTACGTGTTGTTAATACTGTATTTAATCCCGTTTCGAAATGTCATTGCGTTGAACTGTACAGAGCCTTTTAAAAAGTTGAATTTAGTCATGCACACATCAGATAAACACTAAGTTGATAATATCTACTTCGGGGGTGTTTAACGACCTTGAATAAATAAATATTCCTATTGTTTTACCCATTTTACTCTGAAAGGGTCGAGAGAAGAACTGTCAATTATTTTGTTTATGTGCATTTAGCGTTTATAATTATGCACGTGCTAGCAGAAACATCTTGAATTCGAGTGAATTATATAAATTTAAATTAAATTGAATTTTAAATATATAGTTTTGATACTGATTATACCAAGGATATCAATATCGTAAACAGAGAAAAATTACTAGAATTTACAAGAATATAGGGATTCAGTATGAAAAGATTCTACTTGTTGAAAAAAAAATAATAATAAAAAAGGCATTATTTCACATTATGTCTTTTAAGATAATTACAATAACAAGCAAAATAAGTAAATAAGAGTTGTTGTTCGAAACGTCCTTATTGGATTAGAAAATTTATTAATAAAGAATATTGTATACTATTATTGTTAACACATGTCTTATCTAAGGACAACTGCTAATCGAATTCCTTTACACATTGGAATAGATTTTAATTGATCTTAATTAGTTTGATTGGGTGAGTGGGTTGTTTTTTAGTTTTTTTTTATGTACTGAGATTTTTTGCATTTGTTCCCGAGTGGCATATTATTATACTTTCGTTTAAGTATTACTGAAGTTACTATGTGAAATCCATTTAGAATTATAGACATCGAAATTGAATTGTAATTATATTGAATATAAAATGTGGAATGATTGGCAAAGAGACAACTATCCAACAAACCCCAAAAAACTTGAATTTAAGCAATCATAGGTCACCGTACGACCTTTAACAATGATCAAAACCTATGTCGAATAGTCAGCTATAAAAGCAACCATCGACAACCACTGAATTATATGATCCTGTTTTAGGAAAGTCACAAAAAGAATGTGGTGGAGTTGCACATGTTTCTGATCGCTCAAACCCCCTAACCTAGGACAAAGGTTTAACAGTAGAACAAACTGTTAAACTCAGTCGAACATGGCTTGACTCGTCAGAAAAGCAGGAAGCACAAAAACAACTAACATAACGACAAAAGACACAGCGCATCAATGTTAAAGTAATTTCAGTAAGCTAAATCAAAGCCAATTACAACCAAAATATAAATCATGTTCTTCCAGACTATAGTATTAGTCAGTAAACATCCAACGGATTTAGTGTAAAGACGTCTCACAGTTGGAGAAAAGCATGATTTCATGAAATGCCAAATTATAAGTACATAATATCGACAGGATGTAGCATTAGCAACAAAATTGCTTTTCGCAAAATAACAAGGTATTATCAACATTTTGAGCTTACTTTAGAAACTTTGATCATTCCTTGATACTAACAAAAATATTGATAAACTAATTTTTCATCTATATCTTCATTCTCCAGGGAACAGTTCATGCTTTAAAAAAATGCTTATTCATAAGATAAGAAAATAAGAATACTTTTTATCATAATTCGCTCCAATGTCTATCATTTCATATTCGACGCTTGAAAAAAAAATATATTGCAACAAAACTTGCCTACTACTCTTTTCTGTGTTTTAAGTTTAGTTCTTCTAGTAGAAATGGAAAAAAGTCTTGTATACAACTCTTTTAAAAAAGAGAAAATAATAATATAAGTGAATTATAAAAAAAAAAGTATACAAAATGAAGTAACAAAGGCAAATTTAGTTTGTTACACAAGATACATATATTGTTTTATTTAAATAAACTCTCATGTCAAACAAGATGAAAATAGAATAGAAAGGATATAGGGTGTCCATCCATGACACAAAATTAGTATATGTAGAGCAAATAGCACAAAAAGCAACAGAACAGAACTTTTAATTCTGTTCTTCATCTCAATGTCGCAGTGAGGCCTTCAACACGGATAAAAAAAAACTCGATTCTCACTGCAAGTTTAAGACGGCCCATAGAACCAGTTTTAGCTGATTTCTTTGCAAACTAACGATCACGCCAAAACTGCGAATTGAAGAACAAGCGTATTGTACCAAAACTAATGAGAGACAAATTCTATATTCCTATTCCTAAACAGTTAAACAAAAACATTATCCACATTTTGCATACATATGAAAGAATTTCGAAAATTTTAAACTTGAAAGCAGAAAAATTTTATATTAATGGGAAAGGCTGAAATGTACTATTGTATATGCTTTAATTTAAATACCTGATCTTTTGTAACTACTAAGTCAAGAAAATTAAATAGACATGCAACTTGCAAATTATCCTTTGCAGTAACACTTAATTAAAATACAAAATGAAAAATAAAGAGCGTCATTCAGCCCTTATATTGGTTTCACTTAATTTCAGTTTTAATTACAACGTGTATGTGTGTAAAATTTAAATGATTGATTAATACCGAACCAAAAAGAAAATCACTACAACTTTCAAAATTTGTCGATATTTAGTTAATCATGCTTTCACCATATGCCTCATAAACGATCACCGTGTTTCTGATCTAAGTAAAGTTTGTATAAAACATAAAATTAAACTATTTTTGTTTGTAAAAGGTAAATTAAAAAAACAAAGATTGTCGAAGTGTATGGTCACAGAATGAATTCTTTGGGCGACAAGATAATCAAGATGACCGTATCGTACAAACAAAAAATATCATAATTGTTAGAAAGCTGGTGTTTAGCTGGTAGGCAAAGAAAGCTACAATTTCATATGTTCATTGGTAAACAGAGAGATTATATGGAAACTTAGGGCTATATATAGGTTATAAACTCATCATAGATACCAGGTTGAAAATTGTGTACGCCAGACGCAATTTCATCTACAAAATAATCACCAATGACGCTCGAATAAAAATAAATATTGAAAATGTAAAATCAAGTACGAGCATTGCGGACCCAAATATCCTCCATAAATTCTTTGGTTTAATTTGCAACTTATTTATTGTAATATTCAGAAAGAAAACAGAAAGTTCAGAACTGGGACAAATTCAAGAACCGGTCTCTCTTGTACATTGAAAAAAAGATCCAATCTTATCTCTGCTAAAACACAGACGAAGAGAATCCTTAGCATAAGCTAGCATAAAATATGGGAATATATTACATTTTCCAGCTGACTACACTGTGACAACTATTTTATTTTAAATTTGAGACAAATTATGGCATTAATAATTTGTAAATCATATATATCAAACATGTTACTTAAGTCTTTAAAATCTATCATTCAAACATATATTCAAATCGATACACTAACGTCTAAAGGGTGAAATAGAAAACGTTATTCTATAGACTTTAAGTATCAATGAAATAATCGATCTTTCACTGATAGTATAATACTGTACATATTCACTAAAAATACAGATATATTCCATCTGATTTGAAAGTTCCATGTCAGTATACGTCTATGTATTCTGTAGAATTACGGCATCTGTTGACCACAAAACCTGAAAAAATTAATAACACAGCAACAGAATTAGCTTTTCTTCATTCTTAGTGGTGAGTGGGGAGGTGATGGGATTCTTGTTCACAATGTCTGCAGCCTTTCGATACATGTATTCGAATGTTGACTAAAATTCTCAACAACTGGGATTGATTCCAGAAAACAGGGTTTTTCTTAATTTAACCGCACATAGATGTTGATGTGAGTAAAATGTCTTATTTAAGTAATACTTCGTCATCTAAAATGCTACCCAAACGTTAGTATAAAATGGCTATTTCAGGTCAAGAATGTTCATTTTGTGTTTCTTTTTTGCGACATCACACGAGTCATTTCTGCACTAAAGGGGCTAGATAATATCACCATATTTTTATATATGTTTATCAATAAAATTTACCCAATTTTGAAAGGTGTGAAGAATTTTATTATTTAGTCATTTTTGGGACCAAATAATGATTTAAATTTTTAAATAAAACGCCTGAAAGAGTACAACATTTTTACAAATATTAATACAATTATTTAGCCATACCAATTGTCGTGACTACAATCTCGTCTCCTTTTCCCCGCCTCGAATATGACCTTCCGAATTAGACTTATCACCGAGTTTGTACTAACATGAGCAACACGACAGGTGCCACATGTGGAGCAGGATCTGCTTACCCTTCCGGAGCACCTAAGATCACCCCAAGTTTTTGGTGGGTTCGTGTTGCTCAGTCTTTAGTTTTCTATGTTGTGTTTTATGAACTGTTGTTTATCTGTTTGTCTTTTTTCCCTATTTTGCCATTGCGTTGTCAGTCTATTTTTGACATATGAGTTACAATGTCCCTTTGGTATCTTTTGCCTCTCTTATAATATTGCGTTTGAAGACAATATTTCAATTTTTAAATTTTGTTCAGTTTTCCATTTATGGACGGTTATAGAAAAAAAATTCACCACTTTGCATGCATCAGATAGATCTGCTTCGTTTTATCTTTTTTTTCAAAGTTAATTTTCATCTGTGCACGTTTTTACAACCCCTTTGTCAGTACCGCTGTTGTAGGACTATGATTCCACGTGGAAACAATCCGCAGAGAAGCCATTGATTCGCCATATCAATGACTGGAATGATAACTTTTATTTTTAATACTGCAGCTTATAAAATTAATTGTTGATATATCGCTCTACCTGATTCATACCATTGGATAATTTTCATGATAGTCTTTGTTTCGGGACACATATGTAAACTGAAAGCACTAAATTATTACCGATAATTTGTCACCATGTCACCCCAACCATAAGTTTACTGAAACTACATAATAAATATAGGCAACAGTAGCTTACCGATGTTTATATCTAATATAGAAGACAAATCAATAATAAACCGAAACTGAGGGAATCGCATGTACTCCAAAAGTCGCTAGACTGGGTGCGTCAACAGGGTAAGCGTCTCCAGCTATGTATTCATCATCCGCCATGCGAATTCACCCTCAGTCAAAATGTGACAATCGTTAAAATTACGGATTGGAAGACTTTTCTGGTGACT